TTTGTTCTTTTGTCAGCGTCGTCATTATATCGTGCCTTCAATTTTTTTCCCCCCGTCTCTCCGTGTTTACGTGGGTGTGCAACAGCGCACGAGGATTCGACTGCTTCCTGCCGCCAACATCGGGGGTTGAAACGACACGATTCGTGTATATAACCAGGGCCTGTCCTTCTCTCTTTCTCTCTCTTCTGTATATATATATATATGTGTGTGTGTGTGTCTCTCTCTCTATATTATCTATGGTGCGTGTCTGATTTTCCTCGCACACTGATGCACTCACGCAGGGTGAGACACGCGCCTGCACCGGGCGCATTGCCCTTTCGAAAATCCGTTATTAGCATCGAGTCTCCATTATGACGAGTTTCGCGATGCTGACGAATACTTCGGCCCTCACCGTTCCGTTTTCGTCTTCGGCGGCTGTACACGCGCGTTTACATATTATTCGAGGGAGCACAGGACACGCGCCGCCACGCTCCGAACTCTCTTTCACCTAACGTCTACGTGAACGTTGTGCCTCTGTTCCAAGCCTCCGCACGTATCCTCCCTTTTGTCTTTTGCGTGTCGATGATATAGACGAAGATATATGCTCGACGTGAGTTTTATTCGCACGGCTGTTCATTCAAGCAATTAAGAGTTCATTCAATGGACAACTCCACGTGTTGGAGACGACGAGTCTGTGGCATTTGATTCGCGTTGCTCGTTGCATTCTAAAACCAACCAAAGCATATAGTCAGGTGTGTCGTTCGCTTGATTGTTCCCAGGTTACCAGAGTACAAACTATCAGGGAGGAAGATACGAGAGTGCAGGATCTAGCCAGCCTCCGACAACGCCTGGCCCATGGGCGAGAGGATATGGTGTGCCTCACAATTATCAATCTTACCCAGAGTACCAGCAATCGAATAATTACAGCGGCCAACAGTATGGGCGAAACAATTACCAGAATCCGCAGTACAACAGCTACGGGTCGCAGTATAATCAGCATCGGGTAAGATTTCACTATTTTAACTTCAATGATAATCTCTGAAAACGAGTGGAGCGATTAATTAACGGACCGAAGGAATGCTTCCTTGTTCGATAAATGAACTTCTTTATTACAATAATACTTGTAAGAAGTATTCTTACTGTAAGATTATTCTTACTGTAATATTACTTATAAGAAGTATTCTTACTTCTTATAATATTGCTTATAAATAGTATAATGTAACACAATACAGAAGAGGTATTCTTACTTCTTATAATATTGCTTATAAATAGTATGATATAGCACAATATAGAAGAGGTATTCTTACTTCTTATAATATTGCTTATAAATAGTATGATATAGCACAATATAGAAGAGGTATTCTTACTTCTTATAATATTGCTTATAAATAGTATAATATAGTATAATAGTGTATACCATAATATAATACAATACTATATTATATTATAATATAATACTGTGTATAATACTATATAGTAATACTGCTAAATCCTATATAGTATAGTATACTATATTAATACTACAGTATAGTATATTAATTCTATACTATAGTATAATATAGTATAGAAAATAATACAATAGAATAATATTACTTATAAGAAGTATTTCAAGAGTCAAAAGATTCATATAAAAGGATCAATTAAAGAACTTCTTGTACTTGTACTTAACATGCATTGGCCGCAACGTTTGATAATTGTTGATAATTTGTCATGGTGTTGCAGAATTATTCTTCCAACTATCAAGGGAATAGCGGAGGAAGCAGTGGGGCAAGCAGAGGAGGGAGCTGGAGAAGGTCGACGTAGATTTCTGCTCGACTAACGCCATCGTAGATCTGCAATTTAATTTTATAAGTAATCCACATTCGAGTGAATTTCTGAATCATTCAGAATCGTGGAACTATGCTTAGGGGCAAGGATTTATCTCACCGCGAGTGTCATGGCGTACGTTGATCTTCATTCCAGCATTCGTTTCCATGAAGAGACTTGCTGCGTTTGAGACTCCAACGGAGCTATTATTCGCCTAACGTATAACAAATAATTGCAATTTCTTTTTCTTTTCTCTTTTCATTTTAATGGCAAAACGTAGGTTTAGACGCATGATCTGATCTACGATGGCGACTATTATTCACAATTTAGCAACGTAAGAGTCTATCAAGTGTAATTTTATATGAATTAACTCCAGTGCAAATACACAAAGAGTAGAAAGAAAAAAAGAAAAAGAAAAAAAGGAATGTATGATATCACATGTGCTTGGACTGTTACGAAAGTTTAAGTAGAAGTGGCAATCTTTAGGCGAGTACAGTTTGTTAACCTAAATTTCACTGTACAATCAAAATTCAAGTAATCACAGCGCTGTGTGTATAATTGACTTGCGCGTTTATTGTCGATCAGCGTTTAGCATGTTTTTTGTCGATCAGCGTTTAGCATGTTTTTTGTCGATCAGCGTTTAGTATGTTTTTTGTCGATCAAAGTTTAGCATGTTTCTTTTTTTTCCTTCTTTCTTTTTGCGACGAAGTTCATCGACAGATGAATTATAACAAGTTACAAGTCTCTTAACTCTTAAGAGTTCTCCAGCGAAGATTATCTATCAAATTCCAACGAAGATTATCTATCACTGCAGGAACTGTGAATTATTCTGAATTACAATGACATGACTACAACTATTGATTGTAACACAGAATATCTAACGAGACGAACATTGACTGCGAATTTATCTTTAGATCTGGTCCTATAATCGCCAGAATATCGAAACAAACCTAACCTTGACGAACGACGAAAGACAAATCACATTGATCGAGAAATATTTTTTCACAGGACACAGGATCTTGATACAAGTGACTTCGTTTTGAAAAATTTTGATTTTCCATTTGACAGATGATTCTCTTCTGTTCTGAAGCTTCGATTGCGTTACGTATCCATCGTTCGTACATATCGTTGGTGTATAACCTAACCTAACCAAGTGAGATGGTATATCTAAAGCTTTTTCATTACAATTACTTGCACATAAGGAGACTTTTATATTGTATTCACTTGAAGAAAAAAAAATATATATATATGTATATGATTTGGTTGGTTCTGTATTCATAAATCCTCTCTATCCAATCCTTTAACCTAACCTAAACCTAACCAAGTGAGATGGTATATCTAAAGCTTTTTCATTACAATAACTTGCACACAAGGAGACTTTTATCTTGTATTCACTTGAAGAAAAAAAAATATATATATATAT